TGTTTTCTCTTAGTTTTATCCTATCTAGATATTTAAAATGCATTTCACATAGCTAACATCTAGGTGAGTTGCCTCTTCACCTAGTCTGAAAATCTCTGACTTTAATTGAAATGTTTAGCCTATTCTTACTAAATATATTTCTTGTCATGGTTGGGCTTGAGTTTACCACCTTTTATTTGCTTTTTATTTGTCCCTTCAGTTCTTTGTTCCTTTTTCCTCTTTTCTTGAATTCTTTTAAATTAACTGAGAATTTTCAGGCTTTTTCATGTCCTTTATCGAATTATTAGCTATACCTCCTCGTTTTACCTTTTTAGTGATCTCTCTGGGTCTCGCCATATGCATTTTTAATCTGGCATTGTCTACCTAAATATAACATTATACTACCTCGTGTGTCCTGTAAGACCTGTAACACACACTACTTCAGTGTCCTCTTTCCCTTCCTTAGTATTCTTATATATTTTATTTCTCCCTATGTTATGAGCCTAACAATACATTCTTATTATTGTTGTTCTAACCTCTACACTGTATCTTTTTCAAAAATTTAAGAATTGATGAAGTTTTGTTTGGAATCCATTTTGTTCAACTCAAACAACTTTCCCATAACATTATTTCTGGTACAGGTCTGCTAATAACTTTTCTTGGCTTTTTGTTTATCTGAAAATGTCTTTATTTCACCTTTATTTTAAAATATTTTTGTGGGATATGGAATTCTTGTTCAACTTTGTTTTTTTACTCAGTGCTTTAAAGTTTTAGCCACATGTCTTCTAACCTTCATTATCTTACTTTTTCCTCTGGACACATCTTGGATTTTCTTTATCATAATTTTCAGAAAATTTGAGTTTGACACGTATTGGAGTAGTTTTCTTTATGTTTACCCTTATTGGAATTCATTGAGTTTCTTAGAGCTATCGATGTGTTTTTCATCTAATTTGGAAGATTTTTAGCAATTCTTCAAATATTTTTGCCTGTTTTCCCTTCCTCTTTGATTCCAATTATACAGTCGATCCCTTTATTCCACAGATCACTAAAGCTATACTCAATTTTCTTTTTTGTTTTTTTTTTTTAGCTCCCCCCTCCCCCCTTCACTCATCCTTTATATGGATAGTTTCTGTCTTTAAGTGCATTGGTTCTTTTCTTTTTTTGGTGTCTGTTAAGGCAATGCAGTGACTTTTTCAATTCAGATATTGTGCTTTTTCAGTTCTAGAAGTTCTTTTCAGTTTCTGATTCTCATATTATATTCATACTTTTTTATTTCTTTACCCATAATTATAATAAGTATTTTAAAGTTCTCATCTATTAATTCCATATTTGTCACTTTAGGGTTCATTTCTATTGACTTATTTTTCCTTTTTTTTTATGTTCAGTACATTTTAATTGGATGCCGCTGGACATTGTGAATGTTCTCTTGTCAATTATTTGAGTTTTGTGCTCATTCCTTAATAAGAATTGAGTTATTTTTTGGCAGTCAGTTAATTTCTTAAGATCAGCTTGATCTTCTGGAAGATTGTTTTTAAGCTTTGTTTGGGTTATTCTAGAATACTCTGTGCCCCAGAGCTGTTTTAGCCTTTTCGTCTTTTTTTTTTTCTTTTTAGCCTTAGTCTTGAAGCATAACTTTGGGGTCTCTACTGAATGTCTCACATGTCCAGTGAGGATTCTCCTTCTCTTGAATAGTTTGTCCCACGGATTACAGTCACCTCAGCTTGCCTAAGTGCTGATCTCTGTCCCCTCAACTCAGTAAAGCTCTGTGCTCTTCTTGAGTTTTTCTCTTCCCAAATTAGCAGGAAAACCAGATAGCTTCCAGCCGTATTACAAGATCACCGTGTGTGTGTTTCCATTCCCTGAGATCCCAGTCCTGTGCAGCACAGTTGTCCAGTATCTGAAAAGTGTTTTTTCAGATATTTTGTCCAGTTTTCTAGTGATTGATGACAGGAGGGCTAATCTGTTATTAGTCCTCCATCATGACTGGAAGCAGAAGTAAAAATATATCACTCGTCATTATAAGAAAGAATTAGAGCAAGGAGGTCTACATGACTTTCGTAAGTGAGGAAAGTACATATGTAACTCAACAGTAGTTGTGGCAAGATAGAACATGTCAATAGGGAAGTCAAAATATGTATTAGAGATTCAGAGTAACTCAAGGCTTTTTAGGAAAAAAATGTAATAATAGAATAACATATGTATCCATTAGTTAAAATATTTTAAGTTAATATAGTGCCTATATGTCAAGCACCAAACAGAAGTAAGGTATTATGCAAGACACTTTCCAAAATATTGGTGATTAACTTTTTTTGAAGTCAGATATTCAACATTTCAGGTGGTTTAGGGAGTCCAGAAATAGAACGTGTACTCACCCACCATTAAATTGAATTCCTTATGTGTCTTTCCAGAAATTGGATGGCTGCACAATGGAGAGGCAAGGGCAACATGCTTTCCATAACCCCTGATCCCTAATGCAGGGCCATCCCTGGGATGTGTGGGGCTTCTTTTCATAGCATTTGGTTAAATAGAATATATTACAAAATTCATAGGCACACATGACGGATAGTGGTTTGTTAGTGAAGGTGTACAATATTGGATAGAGAAAAGGAACTTACACATATGCTTGTCATCCGTTCGGTGCAAGTGAAGCTTATTCATAGTGTCTAGACACCATTTCTTCCTGCTCAGGTCTAGAATCTTTCTCTTCTTGTCCCTTATTTTTACATGTACCACTTGTGGCTGATTATATATCTTCTTACTATGGGAAAAAATGTAGCAATGCTATTATGACTCATTAAGCCACAGCTCTTTGGAATCTCTTTATACTGAAACAAAATAGATTTTCTTGCCTCTGTAACCCCCTAACACTGTTAATTTAATGCAGCTAAATGGTTACTCAGGATGTGCATGGTTCATTGTGCCCTCTTGAATACTAGTTTCCAAGGACTTAAAGGTTATTACTGTGTTTTACTGACAGTGACCGAATATAGATACTATCCTGAGTGTTCAGGAAAACATGAATGATAATTTATTTTCTGGTCATATTCAATTTGTGATTTGGAATTTCATAGCATAAACAAAGAAAAGCACATATTCCAACCAAATATTTTCTTGAACTCTTGAGGCTGTAATCAATGTATTTCTAGAATATGGTTTCTTTCAGTGTTGACCGCACCCTTGCTTTATACACTCTGCCACCAGTGGGAAGAAAGGCATTTGCCCTTTGTCCACGGAAGCTTCTAACTGCCCTGTCTCTTGTCAAATTAGATAACAGTACTGATGCAGAATAATTTCTCAATGACCTGTATTGACAGAAGGGGAACAGCAACTAGGATCATCTAGAATAGCAAACAGACAAAAAGTGTTTAATTTTAGGTTTCTTTTTTTTTTTCCTAAATCTATTTTCCTTGGACCTGGACTAGCTACATAATTTGTGAGGCACAGTATAAAGTGAAAATGCAGGGCCTCTTGTCGAACATGTACAGTGATACCAGGTTCCTAGTTGGGGGTGAGAGACTTGCCCTCACTGCCATGTGTCCTCTAGCCACCTGCCAGAGACAATGATGTGGGGGGTGAGGGACATGCAGTCCTGACCCCAGCCTTCCCTGCTCCAGCACTCAGGCCCCTGGACAGGGATAAGGAGGGGAGAGAGGGGGATCTGAGGCACCAGGGTAAGGGAGTAGGGGCCAATAACCAAACCAAACACAAGCAGCAGGTGAGGACACCTTTGAGTTGAGGCTCCAGGTCACTGAGGCATGCTCCATTGTTTCATTAGACCACATAAAAACACAGGTTCACAATAGATTACTAAAAAATCTAAGATGACAACCATACAGCATTAAACCCCAGAGTGGGACCTTCTGAACACAGGGCCCTGTGTGACTGGTCACAAGTCCATGAAGCTGGACCTGCCTTGGACTTTCGCCCTTTGTACTGTCAATATCACAGGTCACGTGGGAAGCACCCTGGAATATGACAGGAGGAGCAAATTTGTCGGACATAATTTATAACTTGGATAACTGTAACATGGGATATCAAGAATTAATAATTTAGAGTTCAGTCAATTCATTGGTTAACTATGGACTTCCTGCTATTGCAGAACCACAGGGTAGGGTGTGGGGCTGGGGGGAGGATGGCCAGGGAAGGCTCACTCTTCATTGGGGTCAAAAGGTATACATGTTGTCAGATAGATCAGTTGTGTGTGTTATGATAGAGATATAAACAAGAACAATAGGAAAACCAAGAGTAAGGAAATTAACTCTGATGGGCCTTGTAGGAAGAAAAAAATGACTTCAGCCAGGCCAAGATGGATGGGTAGTATTTCAGCTAAGGGGCAGACCTTCCAGGCCAGAAGGACAGGCAGTGAGAGGGAGAGCGGGTTGATGGATATGCTTACATGCTAGGACTTCCGGGCATTCTTCTGTTATATGTTTTAAGCATCTATTTTCCAGACACTGACCTAGAGGCAGGGGATATAGGAATACAGGATTAGGATTCAGACAAAGCCACTTGTGAATCATAATCCACCAATTTCTAGCTGTGTGACTGGAGACATCTTACAGAACCATTCTGAGCCTCAGTTTTAGTCATCCTAGAATAAAAACATCAGTTTTATAGAATTTTTAGAGGGATTATAAATGAGATAATGTTTGTAAATACTCCAACCAGCACCTTCAGTCTAATGAAGGAGATAAGCAAATATAAACAAATAATTGCAATAATATATGCTTTGTGCAGGGCTTCTTGGAAGAGCTAGTATTGGCGTGAGAGCTCCTACAGCAGATGCTCTGTATGTTTTCTTTCTTCCAGAAGAAATCTGGAGTTAGGAGATAAAGAGAGACAAACTCAAGAAATGTATTTACTTATCCTGTCCTCAGATGGAACATTTACTTAGCTGGCACACTTTCGACAAGACATGATTGGCTCTTTTAAAAACAGGCATCCTCATGGCCTTGGTTGATGTGCTTCACCGTGTGCTTGGTGCTTTAAAATGCGTGTCTTGTTCTGTCTTCTTCTTCCAGACTGAACACTTGCCTTTGCAGACTCAGTTCAAAGAAAGAGAGGTTGGCAGTCTCCAGCACTCTGTAAGTACCATGGTCCTGCTGTGGGGTCTGCTCAGGTGGAGCGGGGCTACTGTACTCCTTAAAATACCATTTGAGTTCCATGAAAGTTATTTTTCCCCGCTCTCTGCTGTCTGAGCATCCACAATAAGTATGATTTTGTAAAGTCCTTGAGCTTGCTTACGTGTCTTTAGATATTCAGGTTTTATGAAACCAGTAACCGGGCAGAGGGGTCAGTACCAGAGACACAGAGCACCATGGGGGTTCATTTAATGGTGTTCATTTTTATGGTGTCTGATTCTCAGTTATGTTGGGGATATGATCAAATACCGGTTCGTTTCACTTGTCTTCTCGCTAATTCCCCAGCGCTGAATCTTGAGGTTTTTTTGGTTTTGTTTTGGCTGTTTGATTTAATTCTCTATATATTTCATGCACACATTCCAAGCTTGAGGCCTGCTGAGGGACTCTGGAAGTTCACAGCCTTGGTCTTCCCTAGTATAACTGATACCAGTTCCAAATTTCAAAACCTGGAACTAACTATAGTCCCCATTAGTCATAATTTTCTAGTTAGGAGCTGCTGCGACTCTTGTACAGGTATCGTAAGCAACGAAGGACCGACAAAGGACAAGTTGTTGGACTTTACCTTGTCTTTCAGTAGCCTGTGGGAAAATGAATCAGAGGCACAGACTATAATGAATTCAATCCTTGCCTATTTTTACCAAAGTGCTAGAAGAATGCAAACAGCTGCTTTGCTAATGTAAGCAATATTTGAATTTTTAGAATGGACTAACTACCAGGAGATTGGACTATGAAGATGAAAATCCCGTGGGGGAAGATGGGATTCAGCAGATGTACCCCCTTTACAATCAGATATGCTACCAAGACCGGAGTCCTGGCAAACATCATCAAAGCAACGACCCCGAAAGAGTCTACATCAACCCGCGAGAACATTACGTGTGATTTCCCTCTCTTTCCAGTGGATGTCGTGACAAATGTTTAATCGTGGATTGGGGAGAGAAACTGAGGCCAATGGTTATTATTTTATTCTCTCTCATATAAAACAATCCCAGTTTAGTGTATAAGAAGCCGTGATGAATGGCTTGGAGCCAATAGCAAATTTTCCTTCCCTTCATTAAGAGTTTCTTAGCCACCAGCTGTGTTTGTGAACTTGACCGTAGCTTTGTGTGTTTCCGTGACGATAGTGTTTAACTACTAACATTGGGCCTACAGCAGAGCATCTGCCTCTGATGGCAGCAGTGATTCTCCAGAAAGAAAGGCCCCAGCTGGGAGTGTTAACCTTGCTGGGTCTTAGGAAGGCCAGCCTATTCATCTGTTAACTCAAATGAGCAGAAAAAGGAGTTCAAAATCCATTTCGCTAATTATTTCATCAGGATTTGGCTTTCCCTGACACGTTTAACGTAATTATGGTACCTGTGTGAACAACAGGCCTGAGGAAAGAGGAAAAATTTGCTCTTTATCCAAAAAAAACCAACCACAACAAGGCAGTTTAATCCTTGAAGCCTGTTGGTCCCTTTTAAAGTCTCGTGGATAATTGTGATCTATGTTCTTGGTCGATCACTGAGGTCCTAAGGGATACGTGTTTGTGCCCTTCTCTGCCGGGTCTCGATCAGCTGCGTGCTAACCCAGGTTCAACTCTCGCTCTGATGTCGTTCCCACAGTTCTGTTCTTTCTGAGCCAGATTAGCCTATTTCTCACCTGCTAAATTCTAAAAGCCTTGTCTACACGGTGGACAGCCCTGAGCCCTGTCCCTCTTTCCTGGAGTATTTATTGTATATGACAAGCTCAGCTTTCACTTATGAAATTCCTTTCAAACTAATCCTATCCACACAGGCTTTGGCTACCCTCTGCTTCTTCAGACTGCTTCTCATCCGTGTTTTATCTACCTCAGAAAAGCCTGCCGGAAAATCACCATGAAATAACTCCTGCTCTTAGAAGCCAGGTAGAAAATGTGAAAATTAAAAAAAAATAATAATAAATGCCATTTTACTGTGGCATATATGCTTAAACCCCCATGTTGTCCTTTATCCCCTCTACCCTGTTTTACCTGGTCAACAACAGGAGCTAAGGGATGCTAAAAAGCAAATAGCACAGTGACTGACTTCCCAGTGCAACACTTTGGTGCCTGCGAATACCTGTCTTGAGTTTTCTCACTTCTCTTTGCCAACGTATCCTCACTGAGATGGAAGGTAGTAATTATAGTGGGGTGAGCAGAGGAGGGGGCCCGGGTACATGTGCAAATGTCAGTCACTCTCCTCGCATCGAAAGGAAGGCGATGTTTTACTGTGTGTTCTGGAAGATGAGAGGTATGTCACAGATATTAAAAACACTACAGACTTGTCATATATTAGGAAAGAACGACATAAGTACTAATAAAAGAGTGCATGTTTCCAACCTAAGTTTCCGGGGGACAGGGGAGCATTAACCTAGATTTCTAATGAGATACCAAAGATGCCTTGTGATTCATGCTGTGCTGGCTCTAGTCTCTGCTTGTATGTTTGTTTCCTTTTCTTAGTTGCCATGCTTTTGCAGACAAAATTACCCAGGTTATTCTACAGTGGTCACACTTTCTGCCCCTGTTGTTGCCTGGGTGACCAACAGTTCTGGGAGAAAAGATGCTTAAACTCTAACTCAATGCCTCAGCAGTTTAAAGGCTATATAGTTATATGGAATTAAAGGGTAAATCCCAAGGACCCTCATCGCTGTATCACTGTGCTACCTCAGAGTTCCTGCCCTTTGTAGCAAGATGGCACAGAAAGAACACATTTATTACCTGGAATCCCATCAATGAATCAGTAGAGCTGAAGGTGTAGGAATCCTTGCAACTATTTTCCAACACAAAGAGGACTCTGGTCCGAGTTCTTGAGAGTGAAGTGTTTTTATAAATACTAGATGTTACAAAGGAAGAGATATGGTGGTATGTCACCTGTTTTGGACAGCTTTAAAAGTATGTTACACGTTAAGGATGGTTTCTAGGGTCCTGCTGGGAAGTGGTTTGCTGAATTAGCATAAAAAATTGATCTCGGACCTTGGGGGGAGTAAGGATGTCTTCATTTGCGCTAGATTTGGAAGGGCTACGTTGTAGGAGATTTTTGGCCTGTCTTCAGAGGCCTCCCTATCAAGAACCCACTAGAAAATCTTTAATATTTTGGTGTAGTTATAGTAAAGAAATTTCAGGGTGTAGACACCTCTCTCACAACCAGCTAGTTCCCTATCCTCTTTGCTTCGCTGTCAGCTACAGTACTTGAATAAGCTGGTAGATTTTATAGCTGTTGGCCCTTTATATGGGTCACATAAGCTATATCATTGTTTATCCTGGTGTCTCCCATCTGTTCTCTCTGGATACTGAGTGGAACAGAAAGGAGCTTTAAAAGGGTTTGATCAACCGGCCCCCTCAACCAAAAAATGCCACCCAAAATTAGCCTGTCCATCTCTAAATTTGGTACATAGGCTACTTGTTGATGGCTGTTTAAATTTGGAAGTTAGACCCGTAAAGGTCAGTGAGTGATAAAATCCACAGCTGATACTAGAGATACTCTTCCCATAACTGGTTTATTAAAATACACTGAAACAGAAATAAATCCCTAGAGTGCTTATCCACTTAGGGTTGCAGCTTAACATTTCAAGAGGGATTGTGCGTGCTCCATCTCAGATGCACAGCCTTTATGGCCTGTTTTGTAGGCAGCCGGGGCTCCAGGAGTGGGCATTACTGCTGTACTCATAGGTCACCAGGCTCTTTGCACACCACTAAGTAAAGCATCTGCATTGTCCAGATTGGTCTGACATAATAGGATATGAGTTTAGATTGATTCTTAAATGGCAGTGATTTGTTGCCTCTGTGAGGGTTCTCCTATCCCTGGCTTTCTTGTATTTTCGAAGTTTGAAGAAGTCTGTGCTTTTTGGACTTGTAATATAAAATTCTTACCTGTGATAGACCTCCCTGTAATACACACACGGTAGATACTAAAGCAATAAATGCACTCTAAACTAAATGAACTGGTTCCCTCATTAGTTTTTTTTTTAAATTTTTATTTATTTATGATAGTCACAGAGAGAGAGAGAGGCAGAGACACAGGCAGAGGGAGAAGCAGGCTCCATGCACCGGGAGCCCGACGTGGGATTCGATCCCGGGTCTCCAGGATCGCGCCCTGAGCCAAAGGCAGGCGCTAAACCGCTGCGCCACCCAGGGATCCCCCCTCATTAGCTTTTTACGGCCTCATTTACTCATATGGATAGTACTTTTTTTTTTTTTTTTTTGTCCATCTTTTGAGGATGATTTCCTGAATTCTCTTTCATGGTAATCTAAAATTCACCTTTTTTCATTGTACGCTCTTTTCCTGCATGGGGCTCGCCTCCTGGTACTATGGTTTATATACACCAGAGCCTTCCTCCAAGCCTCTTATTCTGTGGGCTGTAGAGGACAGACCATTATGCCAAGAGCTAAAAGAACAGATTCTACTCCCAACCTCACCCTGTCTAGCCATGGAAACTTGGACAAGCATCCACTGTCCATAAAGTAGAGATTATACCTTCCCTGCCAGCCTCTCAGAAATGTGAGAGCTAAGCAAGATAATGATAGATGGGAAATTATAAGTTCTCTTCAAACTGAAAATACCTGTGACTCCATTATTATTATATGTTGAACCTATACATCTAGTGCCCTCACCAGCACTGGAGAGAACCAAGCGGTAATGTGAAAATTTCAGTTTGTGAAATTTTTAGTGCAAGTGGGGCTTCCACTTTCCTTTACTATAATAACTATTTTATCTTAAGGAAGGCTTGATATTCTGGACCTTAGCCTTTCAGGCTGTGTCTAAAATTGCAAATGCATGTTGCTATAACAGTGGTTGCTCTTGGTTTACAGATTACTACTAATAACAGCTACATTACTGAGTTTGTGTTATGGATAAGTGCCTTACATGAATCCCCTCAGTGACTAGGACCTAACTCCTGTTTTATCACCATCCGGGAGCCCCTGTGGGGATCGAGAGGCTCACACTTCTATGGTGCACACCCATAGATCATGCCAATCACCAGCCAGCTGTCACTTCTTTAAAATCTGCTTTTGGGGAGTGGTGTTAGGGAATACATTTTCTTGATTTTCTTTTAACAGAGGTCTAAGAAAATACATAGAAACAAACCATAAGAAATGTTTGTTAAGATGAAAGGACGCACATATGCTCATTTTTACTTTGTTTTTGAACTCAAAATGTTCATAAAGACTCATATCCATTAGGTTGACCATAGCTGCAAAAACAATCAAATAATGAAAGCTACTCCCTCCCAGTTGATTCAAAGTAATTTGGGCACAAGCTTCTCTCTAACACCCTCACCTTAGTTCTTTTGGTTTGTCCCACCTTTATTGAACTCCTGGGGAGAGGTGGATACATGGAAAACTAGCTAGCTTTGGTAGAAAACCAGAACAGGAAGAGTGTGAAGTAGAAATGTCAGGGCCCCCACCCGTGGCTCAGCCAGCTGCTTAACTGACAAGGCTCTGCATCCTTGGACTGTTTGCCAGTCTTATAGGAAGACCAGGGACTTCCATTTCCTCCGATAAACTAGAAACTGCTATTTGCAAACCTATTCAATGATAAACTCCGCCTGGATTAATTTTATTATACCTATAAAGGTATTTATGTTTCCTCCATTAAAGAAAATTATTGTTAACTGGACTTGGCCGGTTTGGTCACTTGCAACTCTTAGGTTGTTCTGGTAGCCTTCGGGATGTAGAGGTGGGTGAGGGCTTTAGCTCGCCCCCCACCCCCACCCTCACCTTGTGAATTCTTTACACTGAAATCAGCTTTTAGACCAATTTCTGCATCATTCATGTTTATAAGCAAGCAGGCATCCTGTTAACAGCCTGTCCTGTAAGCTTGAAAATGTCCCAGCTCTGTTCTTTCAGGGAACTCAATAATATGCAAAAAGTTTATTAGAAGCAAGTCCAATAATATTCGAGTATATTTAGTGTCAGCCAACCCAATTCTGTTTAACTGCTAGACACAGAACAGGTTAGTAATCTAGGAAGCCAGGGCTCTTGGGCTTGCTGGAGTCTCATAGCCTGTTGATGGAAGGGCTGGAGTGCCCTACGGTATTTGGTCAGTCCACCTTTAACACTTTACCACTTTTTGGCCATTGAAAGTAATCATTTATTAAGAAAACCTCTGGTGTTAAACTACAGATAAAGCCTCTGAAGTGACTAGAGTTTTTCAAATGCTAACAACCTTTGGAGGATGTTATTTCCCCAGTAGGATTCTTCAAATGTTAACTAACCACTCCTGGAGTGTATATTAAAACTAGTTAGCTATTGCCAAAATAATTTAAATTACATAAATGTAACAACTCGTTAAGGATTCCTCACAGTATCACACCTGCTGACATTTCTCCTTAGTGACAACTTCTCCTTTCTGGGTGGGAAGGGGGTGGGAAGGGAGCAGGGATGGTGTGTCAGAGAGACAGAGGGAGAAGGGTCCACTTAAAATTCACAGTTAAAATTTTTTTTTTGTCCATTCCCATGTGCAGAAGAACCCTCACATCTGCAAACATTTCACTATTTTGGGCCCATTTTATATTTGCTTTAACATTATCTCTGGAAAAAAAAAAACATTATCTCTGCAAAAAGTTTAGAAGTGGGAACTAGAAAGGTCATATTTACCCTGACGGTCAAAATACGTAAAATATGAGGTTTATTTCTACTGCTTTTCATTAGAAGGTTAGCTCTCAGTTTGATTGTGGGGCCCAGTAAACTAGAATGAAAGAGAGTGTCAGAAATTCAGATGACACTCCCCACTGACACTGTGATGGCGAAGTTCCTGCTGTATCTCAGGGAGAAGGGAAATCACCATTGATAAATAAAAGGATTCTCCATGTCACTGCTTGGGCATAACTCCCTTCCATTTGTCCATTCCCAAAAACATTCTAATAAGTGTTGGGGGCTAAAGCCATGATATGTATCAAGTTACATACCTCCCTGCACCAAAAAGAACTAGCTATATTCTGTATTCTTTAACCAAACAGTTGCCCTCTTGAGGTTTTTCCCAGAAAGGTCCTTGGCATCACGGCCTACACTGGTTGTATTTATCATCATGGCATGGGATTGAACTGTGACAGTCGATTAGAGGACTCCCTGGGAAAGCCCCCCCCCCCCCCCCGGGAATCCAGAACATCAGATTTGCTATACTGGCTTAGAACTGTGACCCATCCTGCTACAAACATGCCTGACAGCCATGAAGAGATGTTTTATGTGTCCGCTCCAGGGGTTAGGAATATACTTCAAACATTCCCTAATATCCCATAATGACTCACAGTAGATCTATGAAGCCCAGGGTTGCACAGGATTTTCCAAGTGAATGAGCATCACTGTTTTGGTTTTTTAATAACGTTTCCAATAATGACCCAGTATTTTTCCTTAATCCACCCTAGCACATTGATCAGGCTAAGGTAAATTCCTCTCTCAAGTCATGTTGATGGCTCGGTGTCCATCACAGTTTGACTACAGACAGCAGTATTTTGTCCTAAACGCATTAGTTTGCACTTCCCCACACTGTGGCTCCTTTATGCCTCTGCTTTTTCGTGTGGTCTTACGAGAACATACTGTGTATTTCAATACCCAGAAGAGCATTTGTCATCTTAGGTTTCGTGGTGTACTTGAAATTCCAAGTCCTTTGTGGAAAAAAAAAATGTTAAGTAGCTAATGTTAAGTTGCCACTGGATCCCCGGATTATTCCACTTGTCCATCCAGAAAAGTTCCTGTTTATCCTGTACCTTCTATTTCTAAGCCAGGGTTTTAAGACATGACATCTGCTCCAGCCTGTTCCCTCTCCACATGCTCCGCACCTCTTTGGTACTCCTCAATCTCACCCTGTAAGTTAGAACTGTGTACCTTAAAGGGGCTTTAAGGAGGAGAAAATAAGATACTTAAAGGGTTGTCTTCAAGAGAGGTCCTACTTTAAAGTGATCTTATAAAAGCCCCTTGGCTTAGAAATGAGAAACTCTATAGCTATAATTCTTTTCCTATTCTTGTTTTGCTATTTTTATTTCTGAAAAGTGATCTCTGTCTGAATAGTCTTACTCTGGTTTTAGCTTTCTTCCCATTAACACTTTTCATACTGAAATTGTCCTCCCTACCTTATCCGTGCTCTGATCTTTTTATACAGAGCCAGAACTAACTTCCACAGCAAATCCCACCTACTTTTACTCCCATCATTGAGTGAATGTACTGCATTAACAGGTGTTCGGCTCTGCACGTAAGAAGTCAGAAGCTAAGGAGACCTCACTCTCACCCTGAGAAGATCTGACCATGTGCCTTGGTTTCCTGGCATAAACTGAGGTTAATTCTGCTATTTCACAGCACCTGGTGGGGTCATGAGTCTTGACTAGTAAATTGTGGAAAGCATTTTGCAAAGGTCTATACTATATAAATGTGTACGAATAATCTGGAGAGTCTTCAAGTAGAAATGTATTCGTGTGCAGCTCAGTTCAGAATACTAACCTCCCCACTGTTTTCAAATGAAATGTTTTACTAACCTGCTTTCCCCATTTTTTCTTTTTAAAAAATATTTTTAGTAAAAATTAGTTGCTACTGATTTGAACTATGTATAGGAAGAAACCAATAGTATATATTCTTGCTTGTCAGAAAATGCTCAAGTTGTATTTTAAGAGTTCAAACTAAAAGGGTTGCATAACAATGTAGTGGGGTAAGGAGGAGGATTTTAGCTCAAATGTGGCAAAATATAGAAACACAAAGATTAGCTTTGATTTTGAGATTGTATTATAAATAGTAGAGTTAATGTGGTTGTTATAGATATTCTTTATTTTTCAGTTACCAGAAATTATCTTTTATTTTTGAACTGTATGGTTCTTGACGTGTTTTGAATAAAGTTTTTATCAACTAAAGTTTTTCATTTGCCTTATTATCAATAAATCAGTTATGTTTAAAATACATATAAAAAGTGATAACCTGGGATACCTGGGTGGCTCAGCGATTGAGCGTCTGCCTTTGGCTCAGGGTGTGATTCCAGGGTCCTGGGATGGAGTCCCACATCAGCCTTCCTGTGAGGAGCCTGCTTCTCCCTCTGCCTATGTCTCTGCCTCTCTCTCTCTCTCTGTGTCTCTCATAAATAAATAAAAAATCTTAAAAAAAAAAAGTGATAGCCTAATTACATGACTGTAAAATTCAAGATTTGAAGAACATCTTTTATAGAAATGGTAAAATTTCTATACTGGAATCTATTTTTTAAAAAGATTTTAAAAATAGCAACAGAAGTACATTCATACTTAAAGCAGTATTGGAAATGTTTTTTAAAACATGACGATAAATTACACATTATTATAATTGCAAAAATTACTTAATACTTTTTTTAGTGAAGCTGAATTTATTCCATTTAAGTAATTCCTGGTTAATCCTTAGGTGTTAAAATATACTTTGTTTTATGAAATGATAGTGGTAGTAGTAACTTTGAAATATTACTATTTACCAAAAAAAAAAAAGTTGGTATCTATCATAGGTCCCTGAATTTTGTATCTAATACAAATTTTGTATCCAAGTCTGGGAACCGCTTAAAAATTTATTTTATTGGGGTACCATAAAATTCATCCTTTTAAAAGTTTTATACTTTTAAAGGTATAAAGCTCAGCATTTTTTATTTTTTATTTATTTTTTAAAAAGATTTATCTATTTGAGAGAGAGAGAGAGAGAGAGCACATGAATAGGGGGAGGGGCAGATGGAGAGGGAAAAGCAGATCCCTTGCTAAGCAAGAATCCTGCCTCTGGGCTTGATCCCAGGACCCTGAGATGATGACCTGAACTGAAGGCAGATGCTTAACCAACTGAACCACCCAGGGGCCCCTCAATGTATATTCCCAGATTATTTTTAAACATTTGCATTACCTCCAAAAGAAAGCCACTCCTATCCACTCTCCTCATCCTCCTACCCCCTTGCCCCTGGCAACCACAGATCTACTTTCTGTTTCTATGAACTTGCCTATTCTAGACATTTCATATAAAAAGAATCATGTACAGTGTGGTCCTTTGTGTCTGGCTTCTTTCACTTGGCATGCTTTCAAGGTTCATCCATGCTACAGCATTTATCATTCACTTTTTATTGCTGAATAATATTCCAAGGATCTTCCACTATATGGATGGACCACATTTAATCTATTTATTGGTTAATGGGTTTTTGGGTTGTTACCACTTTAGGCAAAGCATTATGAAAAATGCTGCTATGCTGTTGGGAATGCAAGCTAGCACAGCCACTCTGGAAAACAGTGTGGAGGTTCCTCAAGAAGTTAAAAATAGAGCTACCCTGTGACCCAACAATTGCACTACTGGATATTTACCCCAAAGATACAGGTGTAGTGAAATGATGGGACACCTCACCCCCATGTTTATAGCAATAACTATAATAGCCAAACTGTGGAAGGAGCCACGATGTCCTTCAACAGATGAATGAATAAAGAAGATGTGGTCCATATATGCAATGGAATATTACTCAGCCATCAGAAAGGATGACTATCTACCATTTACTTCAATGTGGATGGAACTGGAGAGTATTATGCTGAGTGAAATAAGTCAGTTGGAGAAGGACAATCATCATATGGTTTCACTTATATGCGGAGTACAAGAAATAGTGAAAGGGACTATAAGGGAAACAGAGTGGGAGAAATTAGAGAAGAAGACAAACCATGAGAGACTCCTAACTCTGGGAAACAAAGGGTTGCAGAAGGGGAGGGGGTGGGGGGATGGGGTGACTGGGTGACGGGCACTAAGGAGGGTGCTTGATGAGATGAGCACTGGGTGTTACATGTTGGCAAATTGAATTTGAATAAAATATTTTTTAAAATGCTGTTACGAACTTACATATACCAGTCTTTGACCATATGTGTTTATTTTTTTATATATGTACCTAAGAGTGGAATTGCTTGATTATATGGCAATTCTATGGCTTAATCTTTTTAAGGAACTGCCAAACTGTTTTCCAAAGCTGCTGCATTTTTTGCAATCCCTTCAACAGTGTGTATGGGTTCCAGTTTTTCTATCACCTCATTAATGCTCTGTCTTTTTGGTTATAGTTAATCCTAGTAAGTGTGAAGTGCTATCTCATTGTGTTTTTTATTTGAATTTCCCTGATGGCTAATAATGTTTATTTGTTGTCTATGACTCTCTAAAAACGTAAAACCATTCTTAGCTCATGGGTCCTATAAAAACAGGATTCAGGCTGGATTTGACCCATAGTTAGCCAAACTTTCTGATCTAGAAGATAGAGTTAGTAGACGGACACATTAAAATAAGGTATTATAAATACATTCTTTGTGTTCAAGAATGTAGAGGAAAGCATGAGCCTCTTAAAAGGAGATGTGGAATATTAAAAAGAATACAGATGCTAAAGGTGCTGATAA